TATTGACATTTATTGTTGACTGTTCCTGAGGATCTTCTTTTTTTCCTCCTAACAGTCCAATAACTCTCCAGTCCAGCAACTTCTAGGCCTGAAACAATGCTGGTTTTAATGACTTTCTTTTGACCCATGGTTCTTAGTAGAATACTTTACCTTCTTCGTTGGAGATTAAGCTTGGTAATTAGGCCCACTGTACAAAACAATGCAGTGCTACCTGGGTCAAGAAATGCATAAGTATACACTGTTGCATTCCCCTTTTTAGCTTTAACTTGCACAGGCACGATTGAAAGTTTGCAGTTATCTTCACTGGCAGGTAAGACCACTGGTTTGCACAGAAACTACAGCAGTCCTTTTAGCTGCGTCCTTTATTTCTGCTTGCTGTTTGTCCATTTCCTTTTTTCTTTGGTGGATATGCAACATCCTGGGATGCTTAAACCACATATGTTGCAGCTGAGTCGCTCTCTGCAGTCTTTGCTGAGGTGCCCTTTATACAGACAGCCAAAACATATTCCATTTTCTCTTAAGAAAGCAATTTTCTCATTATGTGCCCCTTTTTCTAAATGTGGACACATATCCAAAGCATGTCCACCTCCACAGAACAAACAGCTCTTCAAACCAAGCAAGCTTTCCTTTTCCTTGGTGCCTGTATCACCTTTTTCTCTGTCTGCAAGTGTCACAGTGGTGGCAAAGATACTTCCTTTTATTCTTGGTTGAGGCTGTGACTTTGACCTCCTTGGCTCTTTGCTCGCCGTGTCATTGATATCTCCAAACACTGGATCTGTTACAATCTTCATCTGCCTTTCTAGGAAATTCACCATATCCTTAAAGGTAGCTCTTTGACTGTGTTTTTCCTGGAAATCACAGACCAGGACAATTTCTTTATGATGATGAGCATATTAGAAGGCATATCGAGCTCCTTCATGTGGTTGACGTCTTCCATAGCGTTACAACATCCTCTTAGAAAGAAAGTGAATGCTTGTAGAGCCTTTGTGTCATCAGATTTTATTGATGACCATGAAAGAGCCTTTTCCATATAAGCTGTAGCAATTTTATGCTCATTGCCAAAATGCTCCTGCAGTAAAGACTTGGCCTTCCTGAATCCTCTGTCCGAGTCCATGTGGAGGCAGCTCCTCACAATTTCCCTTGGCTGTGCTCTTCTGTATTGTTCCAAATAATATAGACAGTCTCTGGAGTTTTCATTCTTGCTTTCAATACTGTGTTCAAAGCATTTAATGAACATTTGGTACTGAAGCGGATCACCATCAAAAACCTGAATTTCCTTCTTTGGCATAGAAGAAAGACATTGTTGCTGAATTAACAATGCGGTGATTTCATTTTGTTTTTCCATAACTGAGAGGATATTGTTCTGTTCACCGTTATTTGAAGCAAGTAAGGTAGTTGGAGATGTCACATGTGCATGTTTATCTGCATTTCTGATGCTTGACTGGAATGTCATAGGAACCGTGGTGAGAGATTGTAATTGAGTTGTTATTACAAGTGTATTACTGGTTTGTGGATTGGTAATACCTTGCTTTGGGAGGATTTGTCCTTGTGTATGCATGTCTTGTAACTTTGTCACAAAAGATCCTGCTTTAACATCAAGTGTTTTCTTTTCCAGTTGTCCTTTCTCAAAATATGATGTCATACCATCAGACATTTTAGATAGATGACTCCGTACAATGAATCCTCTTAAGCTCCAAGCACCTGCACTTTAGCCATAGTTGCAGCAATATCTGCCTCCATCTCCAGCTGCTCTTTTTTCCTCCTTAGCAACTCCTCCTGTTCTTCCAAAACATGTTTGTCTTTCAGCAGTTTTTGTTTTACAACAAGAGCAGCTACTTCAGCCTCAGCTTTAATGTGTGCAGATGAAGTGCTTGACACTCTAGAGCTTGATCTAGAAGAACGTTGTTTGCTCCTCCTGCTGCTTGCAACATTTGACACACTGTCACCTGGTTGTATTTCTACCTGTATGTCAGATGTTGCCTTAATGTTTGACTGGGCGGAGGGAATGTCATGTTGAGTCTCAATTTGGGGAATTTTCTCCTTTGATTCAACAGGTGCTTTATCAGGTGAGATGGGAAAAATGTCTGTATCTGCAGCAGTTGGTGAATCTGCGGTCACATGACCTGTTTTCAGAGAGTGTCTTTCAGTCTCAAAAAGCCATTGTTTCACATCTTCCATGAAATCTGTGTTGCATTTTGTTATGCGTGTAAACCAGTCACTCTGGGTTTCCTGTTCCTCTTTGGGAAGCAATACAGTAACTGATTGATGTGTTGCTTTTGCATTTTCATACAGTTGAATCAGTTTCTCCAGGTTGCATTGCACATCCTTTGCATTTTCATCCATTTTCATGAGCTCTTTTATTTCACGTGTGAGCCCTTTAAGTTTTTTCACAGTTAATTGACATTCCTTTTGGAGATTTTCAATTTTGCAAGCCAATGCCTTGGTTGTAAGCTTGACCGTCCTCCTGTCCTCCATTTCATCATTCACTTCATTTGTCCCACTCATTTTGACGTTTTCCAATGTGCATGCTCATCAGAGATACACAGCAACACATAAACGCCACTCCACAAATAGATCTCATTCAGTATCGCCCAACAGCGCAACCTTGTCCACAATGCGATCTTTTAACTCAGAGCACAGCAGCCACAGTGTCACAAACAGTCCAAACCAGTCAAACAACCTTCGCCGATCTTGGCAAATCAAGTGCATGCAACACAAGCCAAAACCAAGTCCCCAATGGACAAGTGGCAGCACGTCCAAACTGTGTTCAAACTTCCAACAAACACACAGAAGGAATCCACACAAATACCGCTTCTGATGGCTGTGATGCGCCGCTGTCAATAGGCGAGGTTTTCTGTTCGCAGCAGTCAACTGTGGCCTCTTCACTTCATGCCAGTTAGGGGAAACAGCCGATCAGCTGCTCATCCAGTGTCCATAAAGTCCAAAACTCTGAGATCCAAGGTGTCTGTAGGTGCAGCTATTTTCTGTTGACCACTGAGAGACTTAGTAGGCTCCTGTCTGTGACACGTCCACAAAATCATAAAGAAATCCAGACGATGTTTACCGAAGGTTTATTGAATGAAAAAACTCAAAAAGGGCTGACAAGCAGCGGTTCCACAAAAATATAAACATAAGCAAAAACATATTTTGGCTCCTACACCAGCTATAACAAAAACTAACAAAGAAGCCTCTAGTCCAGGGAAGTTTGTTCACTTTTATTTTGCTTGACACTGGAGTTAATGTTTCAGAGAACCACTTGCTTAAGGTTAGGAAACGAATATGATCATGGTACAATAAATGTACTGTCTAATATTTGCCATATTGGAAATCAGATTGCTGTTGCTATGCTGATGCTGTGCTGCTCTCTTGTGTCTCCTCTGTGGCAGTCTTTGCAGCAGGTACAAAGCACCACATGGCAACATGGAGGCAGATTGAAATGACTATCTCCTGTATCATTCTGTTGTAGCGGACATACCTGGTTTGGCATCAGTAACAAGCCATTAAAGAAGTTCATGTCAAGGACATCACCTTCTTACTTTTCCCACCAAAAACTATCAAATTGAGGGAAATAGACAAAGTATCCTTCTCTCACAAACAGACCAGCTTTCAGCACATCAGAGAGATATAGAACTGAACCATGGGTCACATGGTCAAATGGTCACAACATGGTCACATGGTCATCTCCAGAGGATGAACAAATGGACTCTTTTAGAGGAAAACTCTAGATCAAACAAATGTAAAGTTCCATGGAAAATTACTCTTTTCTCTAAGTTGAAACATGGGAGAAGACTGGTAACACCCCCATGGAACATGCGCCAGCCCCCAGGGGATAAAACAGTTGTGATTATTTCACACATTGCTTTTGGTTACAGGCTTGGCTCCATGTCAATTTGTCGTTGTTTTGCTCTTAATTTTTCATTTATGTTCTTTGTTCTTTCTTTGCCACATGCCCCAAGTAACTTTTTCTTTGTCTAAATGCACAGTTCATTTTATCAACTGTTGCTTAAACCTGTTCTTCTGTTCCATGTTTCATCTTAATGATAATCAGCCATTGCATTTACTCCATAAATAGTAAGACATTTGTATAGTTAATAAATCTCTTTATTTACACACAGTCGTTGTCCTGGTGTGTTCCTTTGAAGTATAGGGTGGAGATCCATTGAATCAAGATGTAACAGCTTCTGATATATAGACTGATTCATTCTGGATTTATAGAGTAATAAGTTATTTCCTCTTCAGACGATGGTGCCCCCAATTAACATGGATTTTTTTATTATAAGATTATGGCCTTGGTACACTACATTATGGATTCAAATTATTTGTGCAATGTAGAATATTTAAATTAAATTAAAATCCTTTGACAGTGCTGTATTTGGTTAATAGATGAATCATGTGGCTCAAATGTTTGCCTTCAAACAACAACCCCTCACTTATATGGATTGTGTTATAATTACTGGCTCTATACCAGTGGCACTGCAAGATGTAGTATGGTACGGTACATCCAAGGCCAGTCAGTGAATCTGTTAGGTTACTTCTGTAGAGCATCACTGACCAATCAAGTGACCTGGGCTCTGTTCAGTCACAAGCAAGATCTGTTGTCCTCACCTTTTCCTTGTGAAGTGGTGTTGCGTTTTGCATGTTGTGTTTTCGTTTTTGAATTTGAATTTACTAATTTGTAAATGTGTTTTCTAAAATTTTTTGTTCTGTTATGTTGTGTCTTGAGAAAAGTGTTTTGAGTATTTCTACCTGAATACTTAGTGAAAAAGATAATTTGCTACCTGGTTTGAAAAAAAAAGCTACATTGTGTGACTGCTACTTGAAAATATTGTTAAACTAGTAGTGTTGCTAGATGTTGTTCCTGAACACTGTACATGAATGAGTGCGTTGTTTTGGACAAATGTAGCACACATATATACAGGTAGTGACAAAGCTGGATAACTAGTTTTAAAAGAGACCCATATGGAGGGACAGAGAGAATGGACAGAGGCGTTAGGTCTCACCTTTTTGGTGGGCATCTTTAGCTTCATGAACTCGGCCTCTCGACAGAGAACGTTCCAGGGAGCATGAATCTTCACGAAGCCCATCCCTGGAGTCTTGGCCTAAGAGACATATATAACATTCAAATACCACTGAGTTGTACAACATGTGTTTTAATGTTATAGAATATAAGCCCCTTTTCCGCTGGTCAAAAAACCTGCTAAGATCCGCTAACATCAGACTTTTATCGGCAATGGAAAAGGAAACAATTAACATTCACACCCAGGTCACAAGACTCTGCAGTAGACATAGGTATTTATTGGCTCCATCTCTGAACATCATTGATGTAAAAACAACACCCATGAACATGCTAATTTTAACCCCTTTTCCTGCTGTAAAGTCTTTTGGAGCTCACAGAGATTGTAAACACACTTGTCACCTGAAAAGCACGGTGCTGTTAAACCAGAGACACCATGGCTACACTGCACTTGGGGATATGAAATGTGACAGATCGGTTTCACCAGTTTGCGGCGGCATTCATAACTTAAATCTAATGATGTGAAAGTTCATTTATATAGCTTTCATGTCATGTAATCCGTATATTGTATTACTGTACAATATAAAATATACAGTAGATAGATAGATAGATAGATACTTTATTTATCCCCTAGGGGAAATTCATGATTATGATATTGTTCTATTGCTTAATATACAAATTAATTTAAATGGGACCTATTATGCTTTTCTGAGTTTTTCCTTACTTATAGTGTGTTATATAGGGTTTTGTGCATGTAAATGGTCTCCAGAGTCACAAGGATCAAAGTTTACATCAAAGGGAGTAACTGTCAGGGTAAAAACCCAGTTTTCTCCTTTGTATGAAATGCCTCGCTAGTGGTCCAGACCTTACTTCCTGGTCCTATTGACATCAATACTTCTCATGATGCAAGGCACAGCACATAACTACTTACGGTGAAGAATTTTCATTAGTTTTGTAGCCATGCTGAAAAGACGGTGTTCTTAATTTCCTGCAGAAATCTACTTCATTTTTTCACGGTTCTCCACTGCTCCAAACATTATATTGTGAGCCCGCACTTCAAGGAGGACTGCTTCAGAAACCACGCATGGTTAGACGTTTCATTTTCACAACGGTTATTTCTGTAATTCACACTAGATTTTTCGCCGAACAGGGGACTAAGACTCACAGCCTGTTGGCCTGCATTGTTATTGTTGTGTATGTTAACCGCATTATGGCGACCTGATCATTTTAGTAAGAAGCAGCATAGCAAAGATATAAATGCTTAAAAACGTTTGTCAGTTTTGACATGCTGTACCTCATTAGCTCAGATAAATTATCCACAGTTTAACCTCCAAGTTTGTTTTTCAGTAACTCTGCCCACCAACGTTAAATTCATTCAGCTTTATCAGCATTGTAAATCAGCAGGAGCTGAAGCCGTGGAGACTCCCTACCTGTTGACCATCTGTCTGTTCCTCCATTATTTATATTTCTTTAGTCTGGAAGTGTCCATTCATAAAAAAATTAAAAGGGTTTTTAAAAATATTCCAAATTATGAATATTGTCATCCGAAGACAGAACGTTAATATTCATTGCTGAATGAAGTTAGTGAGACCTCACACCTGTCACTTACTTGCCAAAAGAAGGCCAGAATGAATGATTGAACAGAATGACTGTTATATTCTAAATCATTTTTTTACAGAAAATAATAAATTCTTATGGAACCTCTCTATGGATCCTCAACATTTTGATTAGTAACTGTAGTTTAACTACACATTATTTATCATTAACTTTAACAGATTACAATTCCAATTACTTTTCAGATGAATTATACAGATCGCCTCAATAAAAGATGCCATATTTAGATATTTGATTTTAAAAAGTTCAGTTTCTGTTAACCAGACCATGTTAACTGTTAAACAGCTAGCCTGCTAACTGCAGCTGGAGACAGCAGCCCTTTTTCTGCTGTGCAGCCTCTGTGATTTTGTTAGGGTTAGGATTAGGATTGTGATTCTACTTCAAAAGATTTTCATATGATCTTTTGGCCACAAGTGATTTAAGTACCTAATCTCATTATGTATAACTAGTGTCTCCCCAACACTAGTTATAACCAACCAGTCTGATTTTGGTAGACGTTTGTGTGGTCATTTTGTAACAGCCTAGTGTCATTTGCATGTGATTCGTCAGTGGAAACAAAGTTGACAGCTATGCATAATGACACTTCTCAAATCAGGGGCTGCAGATTTGCCAACATATGTGTCCTACTGCCCTAAGGTGCTGCAGGGATTTAATGAACTGAAGGAGAAGCTTTTTATTCAGTATAAATTAGCTATGGACAATAGACATTGTAGGAATCATTAATATTAATTCTGAAGACTGACTTATCAGCATTCCTTATTTTTGATGCCATTTTAAATGCATCTACTTGTTGGAGAATAGTTTATTTGCCTATTAAGCATGGTTATCTTTTTATATGTTGACATCTGCAGTGAAATGCTGCACATGTTGGATCAGTCAGTGGTGGCCAGTGCAATTTTTTATGCCGCTGTCAACTGGGACAGCTGCATGTCAGACATGAACACAAGGAGACTGGACAAGCTGGTCAAAAAAGCTGTCTCTGTCTGTGCTTGACAGGAGTCTGGACTCACTCAGGACTGTTGTTGAGAGACGCATGCAATGTAAGACCACCATCTCCACAACATTCTGGCAGACAGAGAAACAGCTGCAGCCAACGTCTCATCTCTGAGAGGTTCAGGAGATCATTTGTCCACACTGCCATCAGGCTGTATATCACCTCAGCTAAAGTGAAATTGGTGGACCCCTGAAACAGTTCAAAAGCTGACGAGATAAGAGGCAGAGGGTACCGGTTCTTTATGGTGATGTCGTTCAAACCCCGGTAGTCGATGCAGGGTCTCAGAGTCTTATCTTTCTTCTCCACAAAAAAAGAAGCCCGCCCCGGCTGGAGATGAAGAACCTGCAGCCAGGGATTCATTTATGTAGGTCTCCATTGCCTTCCTTTCAAGGGCAGACAGGGAATACAGACACCCCTTGGGTGTTGATGTGCCAGGCAGGAGATTGATGGCGCAGTCATATGGCTGATGCGGAGGCAGAGACTTCGCCTTGGCTTTGCTGAACACTTGGCGGAAGTCGTGATATTCCGGGGGCACCCCAGAGATGTCAGGCGGAGCCCTGGAGCTGGGAGTGTAAAGCGTCGAGGAAACTTGCTTCAGGCAGGACAGGTGACAGGAGGTGCCCCACTCTCAGATGTTCCCCGTCTCCCAGTCAATGTTGGGGTTGTGCTGACGGAGCCAAGGATGACCCAGGATGAGAGGCAGGCGAGGTGAGTCCAGAATGTGAAACTGAACGGTCTCATGGTGGTTGCCGGACAGGATCATGGGAATCTGGACGGTCTGGTGTGTGACTGTGCCCAAATGGTGGCCGTCAAGAGCCCGAGCGGGAACCAGATGAGGTAGAGGAATCTGCTCAAGCCCCAGCTGCTGAACCAGCCCCTCATCAATGATACAGGCGTCTGCCCCAGAGTCTATTAGGGCGGCCAGGGTGTGGGGGCCATCAGGAAGGATGAGCTGGGCTCGGAGCAGCGGTCTTTGGTTGCGGGGAGGTTTAACAGTTGTTAGGCTCACCAGTATCCCCCCTGTTACGGGTGAGCCTTGGCTTTTACTGGGCACTTGGGAGACAAAGTGACCAGCCTGCCCGCAGTACATGCACAGGATAGACTGGCAACGACGTTCCCGTTCCTCTGGGGTGAGAGAGGTGGGGCCCAGCTGCATTGGCTTGGACTCCCCCTTCTGTTGCCCTGGTCAGGATGAGGGACTAGTGGAGCCCCCTCGGGAACGGACAGACGGCAGACGAAGAGGGACCCCCTGCTGCTTCTCTCATCTGCGGGCCTGGATACAGATATCGATCCATATGGCCAACTCGATCACCGCGTCCAATGTAGAAGGAATGTCATGGGAAACCAGCCCGTCCTTAATGTAGTCAGCCAGACTGTGGAGGAAGGCGTCACAGAGGGCTGCAGAATTCCAGTTGCTCTGGCTGGCCCTGGTACAGAAGTCGATAGAAAAGTCAGCCACCGTCTGGTCTCCTTGCTGCATACCCATAAGCCCCCGTGCAGTCTCTGAGCTGAAAGCCCCCAGGCCGAACACCTTGCGTAGCTCTCCAGCAAACAACTGAAAAGAGGCACAGGCTGGAGACTGTCTCTCCCACTCAGCAGTGTCCCACAGATGAGCCCTGCCCATCAGGTGATTGATAGTGAAGGCCACCCTCGCCTCCTAAGTAGCGAAGGTGCGGGGCTGAAGGGAGAACAGCAAGGAACGGTTAGTTGGGAAAGGGCCACAAGACTCTGGTTCTCCATCATAGCGCTCGGGAGTTCCCACCCGGGGCTTGGGGGCATCTCTGGGCAAAGGGGAAGCTGGAGCTGGTTCTGGTGCCGTTTGAGCTGATGAGGGCATGGGAGCAGCGGACTGACTCAGGAAGGTCATCAGTTGCTGTATTTGCCTTACTAATGCTGCTAGCACAAGCTAGCGCCATGTTGCGGAGCGGGTGAGTGGAGCGGGTTGGGGAGGCTCACACACACAGGGACGAGTTGGCAGGAAGGCAACGGTACCGTTAGGGAGCAGGCTGGAGACATAGTCGAGGGTGCAGGAGGATCGGAACCAGGTGTGCAGTCATCGGGGCAGACAAACCAGGAAGGAGCAGGCAGGCGTGTAATCAGAGTCAGACGAAGGATCGGGAAACCAGCAGGGAAGCACTCACGTTGCAACGTCGGAGCTGGAGAACGCCAAACGGCCACAGGGACAGGCAGATGGGGACCAGGAAGCGCAGAGGCAGAACTCGTGGTCGGGGACAGAAAGCTGAGGCGTTTACCGGGGCAGAGACGAGGCAGGATGGTCAGGGACGAGCAGGGAGATACAGTCCGGAGATGATTGCTGGAAAGTCTTGCATAATACTAGAACAATCTGGCAAAGAGCGAGTGAACTAGGGATGTATATATACTGGCCTGATTGGAGATGGAGTGCAGCTGGGGGCAACAGGTGAGGACAGTGAGGCTGATTAGGAGGTGTGGCAGAGTGGAGAGTGAGACAGAGGCAT